TTTTCAAGGGCCTTAGCAAGGCCAAGTGAACTCTGCCAGCACTCAGCCAGGTCATACCTGCACTCTTGTGGCTGGGAACTGCAAAACCTCACTCCAGATTGAAAGCAGAGAGACAGCCAGAAGGAAGGCTGCCTTAACTTATACACAGACAGCAGTAAACACTGAAACAGCAGTAAAAACTGAAGCACAGAGTTTTATCTCGTTCATCACAACAGCCATGTGCCTGTATATTTTTTCAGGATCATTCTTAGATTTGTATTTGAATCTGCAAGATAAGGTATTGCCACGATAACTTGTGCTACACATGCACAACCATGTTTAGTATCTTCTGCCCCTTTCCTGAGCTCCTCAGAGAGCAATGCATCCTATCATGGTCCCTGCGTGTTCCCAGGGCAAGCTCACTGCCGGTATAAGGATCAGACCAAGATCAATCCTGTTCCCTGCTGCTACAGGCTTCAGTGTGCTCCTGTGGTCACAGCCAACCTGCTCCTTCAGGAAAACAACTTCTCCTTTCCTCCTTGAGAACAAATTGCTCCGACAGATGACACAGCTCTGAGTTTGGCATCAGCCCTGTAAAAATGGAAGACTGTAGGGTTTTTCCTGGGGTACAGTTCTGTCCATGGCTTATCCTGCCAGAGTCATTTATTAAACCGCCCTCATCCCTGTTGGACAGCTGAGCTGGCACTGGCTCCATCATGACTGTTCCCCTCCCACTGCTCGGGGGCACTGAGGGTGACATGCTCTCTGTGCAGCATGTCACCTGGAGCTGGGGCTTTACACCTCTCTCACCCTGCTTCCTGACTTCCTGCAGCTCTCTGGGTCATCATTACTGCTGGAGGGGGACATTCCCTGCAATGGGTGACCATAAAAAAAAGCAAAAACATAAGGAGATAAAAATAGGCATCTCTGGACTCTCATCACTGCTGCTTGGCATGGGCCCCTGGGGTGGCCAGATCCACACACAGGCCCCACAGCATGGGACAGTTTGGAGGCAGAGGCTGGCACGGGCCCCACAGCACTCCTTGGCTGCAAAAACAGCCTCTCCCTGCTCCAGCACTGCCTGTGAGCCACCCACCAGTGCACACTGCCAGGGCTGGGTGCTGTGCCCGTCCAGCTGGTACCTGAGCCCGTGCACTGGGGAACAGCCCTGGCATCACTCTGCTGCAAGCTTGAAGGTCCACACAACACGCAGGAGAGGTGCTGGCAGGGCCAAACTTGTCCTCGAAGCAAGAAACTTAAAAGCAGCAGCTTTTTAATCCAAAGATAAATTTAGCCCATGTGGTAGGGCTGAAGTCTCGGAATAGATGCTGTGCAGCCTTGGCGTGACTCAATTATCACAACTAGAAAGGGATCCAAACACAGGGTCAGTGTCTGACAGCCTGATTCAGAGCTCACCAGGGTCTGGGATGGGTCAGATGTTGAAACGTTTGCATTTGCCAGCCAGCTCAGATCCAGGCTCTGGGCTGAACCCATCAGAGAGCAACCTCTGGCCTGGGATGTAATGACTGAAGCCCAATTATATCCAGACACAAGGGGAATGTGCCTTTATTTCTTTCATTCTCTTTGCCAGAAATTGCCCAAGGGAGAGAGGAGAAATAAAGGCTGGAGCTGCATGTGTTATTAAACATGCAGCCTGGAGTTAATTTATTCCCTGTGACACAGAGGCTGGGGTTGAAGGAAGGACAGTAACAGTGCTCATGGAGAATTTTCCATGGCAAAACCAACCTGGACAACTGGAAGGAACCCCAAGACACAGCATTGCTGGCCAGCTTTAAATTACAGCCAGCAGTTTCACTCAACCAGAGTTGTTTCTCCCCAAACCTGCTTACCCAGTTCCTGTGGCCCCAAAGCCCAGCTCTTTGGAGAAGAGGGCCAAAATAAACATGCTTTTCCTGAAGAGCAGAGAGACCTAGAACATTTACCTAGCTAGAAGCACGAGGCTGAGGAGCTGAACACCCTGATGTGACCATCCCCCAATGTGCTGCTGGAAGACAGACCTGCTGTCACCCAAAACGGTGACAAAACTACCTGCTTGTGCTAGGACGTGATGCCAGATTCACAGCTCTGGTGCCTGAATAAACCAACGGGAAATCGAAGTAATTTGCCAGGGAAATTTCCATCATAGGAACTGATGGAAAGGCAGGGGGGGAAAGGAGACATCAAGGGGGAGAAAGGGAAGGCCAGTGATGAGGTGATGCTGCTCTGAGTGTCACACACCAGACCTGCCATTTTATCCAGCCTTTGCCAAGGGGCTTTTGACTCCGGATCCAAACTCCCATGTAGGAAATCCCCTTCCAATACTCGGCAACCCCAGGCCGATCGAAAAGAATTATGTCCGTGACTCGTGTCAGGATCTTCAGGAGAGGTCAGGTCCTGGATCGCACCACGCACACAGGGAACGCCTGTTGTCCCGCCGGGATCCCAGGCAGGAGCCCTGCCCTGCCAACACCCCATCCCT